CATCTGTTTCAGTCTTGGATGATTTCAGCTACTGATGCAGTAGGAATTTGCTGATCAAAAATTGAAATATTTGCCATTTGCATTACAGTGTTCTCTAATTTAAGGTTGTAATTATGTCTACCTTTTATTTAGTCATCTAACAAGACAGAATGCATGACAGGGAGATGGTAGTACATAGCACTGCACAACTTGCACAGTTCTCTACTTTAGTACACCATACTGGCACATTTAATGTGCTAATCTATATTAACTTAATGTTTATAGAATCTTTTTGCCTTGAAATGTAAGGTATGTCAAGTTTTAACCTGTATATATTAGCTAAAAATCTGTATGAGTGACTGGAACGTAGCTTTCAGGCAGGTGACAAAAATCAAAAGCTAACACAATGGTATTGTAAGAATAATACAATACAATAAATGCTTTTATAAAATTCACTTTTATATGTACCTTTTACATCATTGTACATAAACACAGGCACACACGAGTAGCGACCAGTGAAGAGGCAGGGCCAGGAGCTAGGACTCGACCCCTGCAACCTCAACTAGGTTAGTGCAACTAGGTGAGTACACAAGGTTACCTTATAATACTGTTAGTCAAAATAAAAGAAAATTTGACTACTGAAATAAATATGAAAGGTGATAAATGATTTTAAATAACTAAAATTATTCAATACCTGGAGTAATCCTGGAAAGAGTTTCAGGGATCAATGCCACGGTGGCCCAGTCTATGACCAGGCCTCCTGGTGGAATCAGAGCCTGATCAGCTAGGCTGTTACTGCTGGCTGCATGGAAACCAATGTACGAACCACAGCCTGACTGGTCAGGTACTGACTTTAGGTGCCTGTCTAGTGCCTTCTTGAAGACAGCCAGGGGTCTATTTTTAATCCCCCTTATGTATGCTGAGAAGCAGCTGAACAGTCTTGAGCCCCTGACACTTATTGTGTTGTCTCTTAGTGTACTTGTGATGCCCTTGTCCAGTCTTTTGCTTTCGTAGGGAGTGATTTTTGTGTCGAAATTTGGGACTAGCTTCTCTGGTATCGTGTATCTTTCTCACCTACATTCCAGGGAGTACAAATCAAGGGACTTCAACCGTTCCCAGTAATTTAGGTTCTTTACCATACTCATACATGCTGTGAAAGTTCTCTGTACATTCTCCAGGTCTGTAATTTCACCTGCTTTGAAAGAGCAAGCCTAGCAATCCTGTAGCAAGTGATAATATAAGATAGATAAGATTTGTTTAGACTTTTAATCCAGAGGGTTAGCCACCCTGGATAATCCAATAAAGTTAGTGCATCACCGAGGACTGTCTTATTTCCACTAGGGTCCTTCAATCTTGTTCCCCAGGATGCAACCCACACCAGTTTACTAACACCCAGGTACCTACTTACTGCTAAGTGAACAGGGACAACAAGTGTAAAGAAACATACCCAACATGCCCACCCATGTTGGAAACTGAACTACAGACACTCAGTGTGAGAAGTGAGAGAACTGCCATCCAAGTCAGTGGTGTCATAAGGGGGGGAGGGGAGCGGGCCGCCCCAGATGACGCCAACTAGGGCTGACATCATAGAGCCTCTAAAGGTGACACTAATGCCCAAAACAGTGCTGCAGCAACAGAAAAATCCTTTGTTTCTATGTATAGAGTCTTATATGATTACATAATACAAATAGGCCTATACAGGGAAAATCACTGAATCTGATGATGTGATAGACGATTTTGCAGGAATGAAGGCAAGGAAATGTAAGATCAAATTTACTGAGATGTTACCTGTACTCAAGGTCAAATCAGAACTAGTGTTTCTCTGATATTGCAATATTTTTTTTTTTTTTTTTTTTGCGTTGTTGAAGATGAATAAATGTAGGATCTATTGGCTGTACTCAAAGTGGTATTTGAGTTTATGTTTCCTCAATATTACTACGATTATTTACTTTATCATTAATAAAGTTGAGAAGTATTCTCCTGTTTGGTTTATGGCCCTTAAACGTTCTCATTGCTAAACATTAGTCACTGGGCATGCAGTAGTGATGCAACTGGAGTTTACTCCCCCCCATTCCCCCCATCCCCCCGCCCTTGGATTTCATGGAGATGACACCAAAGATGCCACCCTGGGTGACACCAACCTTAGCAATGCCACTGATCCAAGTCACTCTTCATCCTACTCAAATCAGTGAAGGGCTCTCCTTAGCAAATTTTTCTGTTTGTCAAGAGCCCAGTATTCTTTTGGGGGTTCACAATACATGAGAAAAGTTTCACATATATTGTTCATTTTGCATAGTGCATCTTTACATTACACACCAATATTCAGTAATGTGACACCTACTTAATGTGAATCTACATAAAACAGGTAAGCACAAATACTGTATTATTAAGACCATGAATATTTCCTCTATACGTAAAGGGAAAAAGGGAACAAGAGACAATAGAATTATTGTGGAATAAGCCTGTTGAGTCCTAGGTAGTAGGTTGGTAGACAGCAACAGCCCAGGGAGGTACTACCGTCCTGCCAAGTGAGTGTAAAACTAAAGCCTGTAATTGTTTTACATGATGGTAGGATTGCTGGTGTCCTTTTTTCTGTCTCATGAACATGCAAAATTTCAGGTACGTCTTGCTACTTCTACTTACACTTAGGTCACTGTACACATACATGTACAAGCATATGTATACACACACTTCTGGGTTTTCTTCTATTTTCTTTCTAGTTCTTATTCTTGCTTATTTCCTCTTATCTCCATGGGGAAGTGAAACAGAATTCTTCCTTCGTAAGCCATGTGTGTTGTAAGAGGCAACTAAAATGTGGGGAGCAAGGGGCTAGTAACCCCTTCTCCTGTATAGATTACTAAATTTAAAAGGAGAAACTTTTGCTTTTCTTTTTGGGCCACCCTGCCTTGGTGGGATATGGCCGGTTTGTTAAAAAAAAAAAAGCCTGTTGAGTATACTTGGTAAAGTGTATGACAGTGTAATCTTGGTAAAATGTATGACAGTGTGTATACTTGGTAAAGTGTATGACAGACTTATTATTGCAAGAATTAATGATAAGACAGTAAGTGGGATTGTGGAGGAACAAGGATTTAGGAAGGGTAGGGGATGTGATCAAGTGATTACACTGAAACATATAAGTGAATTTTTTTTTTTAGATAAGGGTAATGAACTGTTTTACTGCATCTATGTATTTAGAAAAGGTACATGATGAGGTGGATAGGGAAGCATTGTGGCAGATATTGCAAATGTGTGGAATAGGTAGCAGTGTACAGTATATAAAGTGGTGAGGATTTTTTATGTGAAGAGTGAGGCTCAAGACAAGGTATGTTGGAGACAAGGGGACAAATTTCCAGTAAAAGTAGTCCTTAGACAAGGACATGTGATATCATCATGGTTGTTTAATATATGTATAGATGGGGTGGGATGAAAAAGAAATGAATGCTAGGGTGTTGGGGATTTGGTATGGGATTAAATAATAAATATAATACATCTGGGTAGTAGGTTGGTAGACAGCAACCACCCAGGGAGGTACTACCGTCCTGCCAAGTGAGTGTAAAACGAAAGCCTGTAATTGTTTTATGTGATGGTAGGATTGCTGGTGTCCTTTTTTCTGTCTCATAAACATGCAAGATTTCAGGTACGTCTTGCTACTTCTACTTACACTTAGGTCACACTACACATACATGTACAAGCATATATATACACACCCCTCTGGGTTTTCTTCTATTTTCTTACTAGTTCTTGTTCTTGTCTATTTCCTCTTATCTCCATGTGGAAGTGGAACAGAATTCTTCCTCCATAAGCCATGCATGTTGTAAGAGGCGACTAAAATGCCGGGAGCAAGGGGCTAGTAACCCTTTCTCCTGTATATGTTACTAAACTTAAAAGGAGAAACTTTTGTTTTTCCTTTTGGGCCACCCCGCCTTGGTGGGATATGGCTGGTGCGTTGAAAGAAAGAAAGAAATCTAATACAAAGTAAGAGTTGTAGTTGCTTTTTACCAATGACAATTCTTTTGGGAGATTCTAATGAGAAGTTGCAAAGGCTGGTGGAAGAATTTGAAGGGTGTGTAAAAGGTAATTAAAAGTGAATACATAAAACTGCAAGATGATGAGAGTAACACAATGTCTGAGCAATGTAAGATTGAATATATTAGACTGGAGGGAGGAAGTATACAAGTTAATATATTTGGATATTAGAGAGTGGACTCAGCAGATGGATCCATGAAAGACAAGGTGAACCACAGAATGGACAAGGGAAACAACAGGTGGGTAGAATACCAATGCCTCTGTGGAAAGCTTCTCAATGGAGACAAAAAGGGTAATATACTAGAGTATAGTGATACCAGCATTTGTGTATGGATGTCAGGTATGGGCTTTTAACACTGCAGTAGGGACTCAGCTAGAGGGAGTGATGTCATGTTTGAGAGCAGTGCAGGGTGTGAATATTATACAGAGATTTCAAAGTGTAGAAATTAGAACACAAGATTGGGTTACCAAAGGTAAAATTCAGAGGGCGGAAAAGGCATTACTGAGGTGGTTTGGGCATGCAGAGAGGATGAAATATAATGAGGTGACCAAGAGGGTGTATAAATCTGAGGTGGAAGAAAAGAAAAGTAGGGATCATCCCAGATAGGGTAGAGAGAAGGGGAAAAGAAGATTCTGAGTTCTAAGGGCATGAGCAGCCAGCAGGTTTGTGTATGTTAGCCTTGAGTGCAGACAAGTGGTTTTTATGCCTTGACATGATGTTGGAGGGTAAGCAAAGTAACATTTATGAAAGGATTCATTGAAAGCAGTTAGCCAGATTCAAGTCCTGGAGATGGGCAGTACAGTGCCTGAACTCTTAAGAAGGGGTTGAGATTTTGAAGTTCAAAGGGTTATTTGAAATGTGATGTCTTCTCAAGACAGCTACTGAATGAATGATGGTGAATATATTTCACTTTTAGGGTTACCCTACTTGTTGGGAGATAGCTGGTGTGGTAAGAAAAATTAGTAAGTTAAAGGTACAAAAAAGAATAACTTACTGGAAAGCTTGCAAATTTTTGAACATCTTATACTGAAAGGAAAAGCTGGAATTTGCCTTATCTGGTTTGTTTTCTCATTGGCTTTCTTGGCTTTCTTTGCTTTCTTCGCTTTTCTGGCTTCCCAGGCTTTCGTAGGTTCTGAATAAAAACTTTTATCTGAAGATTCAGAAGTAGTACTCTTCACGGTGTCAGAATAAGAGTCTGGATAAAAACTTTCATCTGAAGATCCAGAAGTGGCACTCTTCATGGTGTTAAAATAAGAGCCTGGTGCATCCACTGTCTGGTAAGTTACAGCTGATGTTTACTGAAGATCAGTGAATTTTTTTGCTATGTACTATTCTAAGCCTGATAATGAGCCATCCTACTCTGATGCAGCAGAGGCAGCATCTTGGTATTCAGTGCCTATGCAGCATAATTAGCTTGTACTGTGTTATCCTAGTGAAGTCTGTGGAGTGTTCTTTGTAGCAGAAATCCAAAGTGTGGATGCTCACTAGCTGTTGTTAAAGAAAAAATTGCAACTTTAGCTTTCAAAAAAGGTATACCTAAATGAGGTTCTAAGATTCTCATGCACTACTAAATAATGTGGTACATATATTTCTTTACTGTTAAGAGCAATCTACTAGGCATCTTCACAATAGTATAAAATAACAGAATGCCTCTAAATGTATGTGTCCACATACTATACAAGCAAGTGAACCTTTTATGCAAGTGTTTATATCTTGAACTTTGTCTGGTTTGATAAACTTTTCATTCAGTCACATGGACAAGCAAGATGTCAGGTAAAACTTACAAACTTCTACTTAAAATTAACATGCACTTACCTTTATCTTCCTGTGTATTTCTTAATGCAGTTAAACACTTCCTATTCCTGGTAGATTTTCTTTTGAATCTACAAGCCTTGATCTGAGACCAAGACTTGGGGGCAATGATATCAACAGTACAAAACTCCAAGGTTATAGGACGGTTATCCCTCAGTGCCAGTCGTGGGAAAGAAGTGAATAGTTAAATAGTCAAGGTTAATGTTTTAGTAGCTGACCTATATTCAGCTGACTAGTGTACATTTACCTGGAGTTTACCTAGAGAGAGTTCCGGGGGTCAATGCCCCCGCAGCCCGGTCTGTGACCAGGCCTCCTAGTGGATCAGAGCCTGATCAACCAGGCTGTTGCTGCTGGCTGCACACAAACCAACGTACGAGCCACAGCCCGGCTGGTCAGGAACCGACTTTAGGTGCTTGTCCAGTGCCAGCTTGAAGACTGCCAGGGGTCTCTTGGTAATCCCCCTTATGTATGCTGGGAGGCAGTTGAACAGTCTCGGGCCCCTGACACTTATTGTATGGTCTCTTAACGTGCTAGTGACACCCCTGCTTTTCATTGGGGGGATGTTGCATCGTCTGCCAAGTCTTTTGCTTTCGTAGTGAGTGATTTTCGTGTGCAAGTTCGGTACTAGTCCCTCTAGGATTTTCCAGGTGTATATAATCATGTATCTCTCCCGCCTGCGTTCCAGGGAATACAGGTTTAGGAACCTCAAGCGCTCCCAGTAATTGAGGTGTTTTATCTCCGTTATGCGCGCCGTGAAGGTTCTCTGTACATTTTCTAGGTCAGCAATTTCACCTGCCTTGAAAGCTGCTGTTAGTGTGCAGCAATATTCCAGCCTAGATAGAACAAGTGACCTGAAGAGTGTCATCAAGGGCTTGGCCTTCCTAGTTTTGAAGGTTCTCATTATCCATCCTGTCATTTTTCTGTCATTTTTCATAGCAGAAAAAGCCAAATATATCTATAAGCTCAAGGAAAGTCAGGTTGTAGGTGGCATTACTCCCCTCAGTGTTTTAAAAATGGCTGAGTCAGCAGAACAGGTCAGGAGACAACAACACGACACAACCCCCGATAAATGGAATTGAGGGGGATTTGGAAGGATAAAACCATTGATTAAACCTTTCTGGTCTACCAGAATGGAAAGGAGTTAGAAGTTAATTGGTGAAGCCAGACTGTGAAGTGAGGTGGGAAGGGGAGTGTGTAATAAGGGGTTAACTGTAAGGGGTTTGTGAAGTTTAGGGAAAAGTGAGCTGTGAAGAGGATTTTGAAGAGGAAATTTTACTAGTAATTCAGTGGTGATTGCTAAAGCAGATACTAAGTGTACTAGGGACTGGAAAAGAGAAATAAATATTATTGTATATGAGTAAAAGAGCGAAGAGTGAAAATGGCAGGCATTAGGGGGGTACAGGCTGCCATAATTATATTTATCTTTCTTCTTCAATTCCATGAAGAAAGAAATCAGTCATGGGGGCTGGAAAAGGTGAATGGAGTAACAGCGCCCTAGACAGTAAAAGCCCAACAGTTGCCATCCTACCAGAAAAGTAAATATCACTATCGCCGCAAGGTATGGCAACACCGCATACCCAAACAAAAACAGTGGCACACAGCTCTTATTGTAGCGCTCTTAAGTGGTGATATCCAAATTAATCCAGGACCTCAAACTATTGTGCAGAGGCAAAACAGACAGATAAATGACGGTGATAATGACGGTCTAGTAGCTAGGAATGATAACCTTAACTCCATATGTAATGCATACATAGGTCAATGTGAGACAATACAGCCATTATTATCTCAAACACTAACAAACAGGTGCATACACTGTACTAAAGTACGCATGAAAAACAGAAAAGGCACCTTATGTAAAATGTGTAAGGGGTGGGTGCATGATGGATGTATGTGCAATTATAGCAACGGTGCCAGAATTCATTTTGAGTGTAACAAATGCACTTTGGCACAGTTACCCTTTAGCAGTGATGACATTGATTTACCTAATTTTAATACAAATGACCCATTGCCATATATAGATGATTATGATTGTTTTATGAAAACAGGCCTTCACTTTATTCATGTCAATGCAAGATCACTTCTTCCTAAACTGGCAGAGATTAGGATTCTAGCTAACAAAATTAGGGCGGGAGTTATAACCATCTCTGAATCTTGGTTGGATGATATGGTGACTGACGACGAGGTCAAAATAGAAGGTTACAATATAAAACGCTTAGATAGGAACAGAAAGGGTGGTGGAGTATGTGCCTACAGTAGAAATGACTTAGCTTACAACCCAAGACCTGATTTAAATAACAATAAACTGGAGATTCTATGGTTTGAAGTGCTGCTTCCCAAGACCACCAAACCCATCTTAGTAGGAACTAGTTATCTCCCTCCCACCCAGGACCAGTTCTTAGAAGACTTTTCCAGAGTATTGTCCGGAGTTGAAAACAATTGCGAGACAATAATACTGGGCGACTTCAATATCTGTTTTCAGCAGCAAAATAACGGGCTATGCAAAAGGTATAAGCAAATTCTAGGATTAAATAGCTACACTCAACTAATTAATACACCAACCCGGATCACACAGTTCTCAGCCACCCTAATTGACCACATACTTTGTAACCGCTCTGAGAACATTAGCCCCACTCCACAAAGGGGGCAGTAAAGCAACAGCAAAGAACTACAGACCGATAGCACTAACATCCCATATCATAAAAATCTTTGAAAGGGTCCTAAGAAGCAAGATCACCACCCATCTAGAAACCCATCAGTTACACAACCCAGGGCAACATGGATTTAGAACAGGTCGCTCCTGTCTGTCTCAACTATTGGATCACTACAACAAGGTCCTAAATGCACTAGAAGATAAAAAGAATGCAGATGTAATATATACAGACTTTGCAAAAGCCTTCGACAAGTGTGACCATGGCGTAATAGTGCACAAAATGCGTGCTAAAGGGATAACAGGAAAAGTCGGTCGATGGATCTATAATTTCCTCACTAACAGAACACAGAGAGTAGTCGTCAACAGAGTAAAGTCCGAGGCAGCTACGGTGAAAAGCTCTGTTCCACAAGGCACAGTACTTGCTCCCATCTTGTTTCTCATCCTCATATCCGACATAGACAAGGATGTCAGCCACAGCACCGTGTCTTCCTTTGCAGATGACACCCGAATCTGCATGACAGTGTCTTCCATTGCAGACACTTGCAAGGCTCCAGGCGGACATCAACCGAATCTTTCAGTGGGCTGCAGAAAACAATATGAAGTTCAACGATGAGAAATTTCAATTACTCAGATATGGTAAAACACGAGGAAATTAAATCTTCATCAGAGTACAAAACAAATTCTGGCCACAAAATAGAGCGAAACACCAACGTCAAAGACCTGGGAGTGATCATGTCGGAGGATCTCACCTTCAAGGACCATAACATTGTATCAATCGCATCTGCTAGAAAAATGACAGGATGGATAATGAGAACCTTCAAAACTAGGGAGGCCAAGCCCATGATGACACTCTTCAGGTCACTTGTTCTATCTAGGCTGGAATATTGCTGCACACTAACAGCACCTTTCAAGGCAGGTGAAATTGCTGACCTAGAAAATGTACAGAGAACCTTCACGGCGCGCATAACGGAGATAAAACAACCTCAATTACGGGGAGCGCTTGAGGTTCCTAAACCTGTATTCCCTGAAATGCAGGCGGGAGAGATACATGATTATATACACCTGGAAAATCCTAGAGGGACTAGTACCGAACTTGCACACGAAAATCACTCACTACGAAAGCAAAAGACTTGGCAGACGATGCAACATCCCCCAATGAAAAGCAGGGGTGTCACTAGCACGTTAAGAGACCATACAATAAGTGTCAGGGGCCCGAGACTGTTCAACTGCCTCCCAGCATACATAAGGGGGATTACCAACAGACCCCTGGCAGTCTTCAAGCTGGCACTGGACAAGCACCTAAAGTCGGTTCCTGACCAGCCGGGCTGTGGCTCGTACGTTGGTTTGCGTGCAGCCAGCAGCAACAGCCTGGTTGATCAGGCTCTGATCCACCAGGAGGCCTGGTCACAGACCGGGCCGCGGGGGCGTTGACCCCCGGAACTCTCTCCAGGTAAACTCCAGTCAGGCATCATTACCACAGGTCTTAGTGATCATTTCATCATTTACTGCACCAGGAAAATCACTAGGGATAGGATAGGCCTACACAGGACAATGAAAATGAGGTCAACTAGAAACTACAGTAAAGAAACACTGGTAAATAGGCTACACAATTGTGACTGGACAGAGATAACAAGTTGCACGGACGTAAACGATGCCTGGAAAAAATTCAAAACAATGTTCACTACCATCCTTGATAATATTGCACCAGTTAAAGAGGTTAGGATTAAACAAAGAACTGAACCCTGGATGACTACTGAGATATTAGATAATATGAAATTCAGAGACCAGCTGCTAAAAAGATTTAAAGCAAACAGACAGGATATTGCAGCACTAAATGAATTCCAAAGGTTGAGGAACAGAGTACAGAGACTTATAAAAGGAGCAAAGGCAAAGCACTATTGCTCAAAAATTGAAGAGTATAAGCATAACCCCAGAAAGCTCTGGCAACAACAAAAAACAGTTGGGGTATAGCCATAAGCCAGTAGATAGGTCTAACATAGTACTCACTATCGATAATGAGG